TTTTTGGTACCGGAGATTGAACTGGGGTCCTTGCGCTTGCGCAGCAGGCGGCGAAACCACTGAGTCAAATCCCCGGCCCAAGACCTATATATTGAAAATTACAAATTCTTAAAATCAAATTAACAATAATTAACATTATTCTTAATGAAAGAATAAAAAAACTCAAATAAATGGAGAGAAATATATTCACAGATTGGAAAACTCAATATTGTTAAGGTGTCAGCTTTTTTCACATATAGATCAATATCCAGGAGAGTTTTGGGGAGATATCAGTAAGCTGATTCTAAATTGTATACAGAAAGGCAAAGGTACTAGAAAAGTCATTACAATTTTAAAAAAGAAGGATAAGGTTAGAGGACTCACATAGCAGATATAAAGATATAGTAATCAAGTAATTGGTAAAGGAATACAAGGATAGATCATTAGTAGACTCATGCAAATATGACCAATGAATTGTTTACAAAGATGCAAAGGCAATTCAGTGAGAAAAGGTACTGTGGACATTTGGACAGCTTGGAAAATTTGGACTTCCACATTCTAATAGAAATAGCTACCTAGATCACACCCCTTAAAAACTGGTTGAAAGGGCTGGAGATTCAGCTCAGTGGTTTCACCGCCTGTTGTTGCACAAACGCAAGGACCTGAGTTCAATCCCCAGTACCAAAAAACAAAACAAAACAACAAAAAAAAACCTGATTGAAAATGGACCACATATCTAAATATAAAATGTAAAACTATAAAACTTTTAGAAGAAAATATAGGAGAAAATCTTGTAACCTTGGAGTAAACAAAGATTTCTTAGAAATGACACCAAAACACAATCCATAGAAAAAAACTGATAAGCTGAATTTCATCAAAAAAAGCAATGAAAAGATGCTCAACATTGCTAACTATTCAGGAAATGCAAATTAAAACTACAATGAAACACCAATAAAAACCCGTCAGAATGACTAAAACAAAACAAAACAGACACTACCATAACAAAGTAACAATACTAAATGTTGATGAGAATGGAGAGCAACTGGAACTCACATATAATATTAGTGGGATATAAAATGGCAGCCACTCTGGAAACACTTTGGTGGCTAATCCAAAAAGTTAAATGTGGAATTACCACATGATCCAGCAATTTTACTCTTAGGTATTTATCCTAGAAAATAAAAACTTATGTTCACACAAAAACTTAAACATGGCTGTTACAGCATTTGTTTATAAGTGGCCCAAATTGGAAGCAACTTGAATATCTATCAATACGTAAATGGATGAATAAACTGTGTTACATCAACATAATGGAATGTTACTTAGCAATGAAAGGAGCAAACTAATGAAACAAATTATTCATGTGTGATGCATATGAATCTCAAAGGCATTATGTTGAGGGAAAGCAGCCAATCCAAAAGGTTACATACTGTATGACTCCATTCTTTAGGAAACAAAATTATAAGGATGGGCACTAGATTGGTAGTTGTCAGGGTATGGGGATGGAGTGGTCTGATACAAGGGAATTTTTTAGGGTGATGAAACTATCCTAATTGTGGCAGCAGTTCATGAATTTGAGTATGTGCTAAGACTCACAGACCTGTATACCACCATTGTGCATAAGATTAATTTTATTTATTACATATATACTTAATGTGGGCCAGGGATTTTAGCTCAGTGGTTCCAGCGCCTGCCTCGAAAGCCCAAGGTCTGGAGTTCAATCCCCACTACTAAAAAAAAAAAAAAAAGTATGGCTCCCTGGTTTTGATCCTAAAACATTCTACTCTAGTTAATAAAACAGAAGCTGTAGTGAATTTTCATCTTATATTTGTTTGTTCTACTGCAGAAAACACTAAAGTGTTGACTCCTGGCTGGCACAAGGGCCATCAATGAGGTAGGCAATCAGTGTGGACAAGGTAGCACTTGGCGCACAGTGCTAGCACCTAGGGTGGGGATGGGCCTAGCAAATGTACTGAAGATACAAGCCCTGTTCTTGGGGGACTCATCATCCAGCTGGATTAGTAGAAGAGATGAATATCAAACTACCACAGAACACTTTAACAGTTGGAGTGGGAAGGCCATTTACTTCTGTGCCCACCTTGTTACAGAGAAGAAAACTGAGGCTCAAGGAGGTTAGCTGGTTTGCAGATCTGGAAACCAGAAATTGGGTAGCGGACTGACTCGGACCCAAATTCTTTTTCAGATAGCATGTGTAAATGAGAGAAGCTGCATTGATGAGTATACCTAGGAGTAGATCTTCATAGGAGGTGAACTCTTAGGCTGAATTACGGATTTTAAAGAATGCTGTATCAGTACTTCATGGAGAGAGAAGGGGAAATATTCAGGGAATTGGAAATCATTCACCAACCTGTGCAAACCATGGGCTTTCGAGGCTACTGATAAGACAATACCGCAATTTCTCTGCTATTTAGACATACTGCATCCAGATAATTTTATGTGATTAAATTAAAAATATCATTTTCATTTAAAAATGCTTTATGTCTATGATGCTTCACTCGCATTTGATTACTTTATATGTGAAATCCAAAATTGAATTTATGTAACACTTCACAGGAGAGCTTGATTAAAGCCTAATGAAAGGAGAATGATGGCAGCAGTAAGTGCCCGCTCATCCCAGGGGTGTTAGCTGCTGGGTGTGGGGACAGGACCGGGTGTGGCAGGAGTGGTGACCCCTCAGGGTCAGGGGACCCCTGCCCAGATGGCTCAGCCACAACCCAGCTGGGGTGTGGGCTTCTCTTCCTCCCTTTCCTTATCCTTCATGTCGGGGTGGCTTCATCTGCTGTCGCAGGAATTAATTCTTCACAGGTCTGCTCAGGCCTGGGGGTGTGTTATGTCCCAGGAGAAAAGAGGGAGAGGAGAACTCAACTCACTGCTTCACCAACGAGACTAGGTCTCTCTTGTCCTGAGGCTGAACAAACAGCAACTCCGTAATTCAATGGGAAAGCTCACAGATTAGGTAAAAACCCCCCACAAAAACACAATTCAATTATATTTATATAAGATATATCTAAAACAAAAAACATGGAAAGATTAAAAACAAAAAAAAAACTTGGCTGAGCACAGTGGTTCACAACAGTAGTTCCAGCTACTTGGGAAGAGGAGGATCAATCATAGGCCTATGAATTAGCAGCCTGGGCAATAAAGCGAGACTATGTCACCCGGCGGGGAGAAAAGCAAAAGGAAAGAAGACTCTCTTGTTACTTTTTCTGCCTTGTGTGTGCCATGTTGTTTCT